CGATACAGTGTAACAGAATTAGAACTATTTGGTCTTTACATTAACATATCAGCATTTAAGCATTTGTTAAAAGGATGTGAGTTTGATGCATTTGTTGATCACTCAGCCATTGTACAAATTTGGAACTCTAAAGACCAACCTTGCAGAAATCGCCTACAAAAACGGATACTAAGATTACCAGGCTATGTTTTTAAAATTGGATACAAAAAGGGTACTGAATTAGTGCTAGCTGACTTCCTAACTCGTGCACCAAGAGATGAGGATTCTGAAATTGATCAAATTGTACCAATTGCATTTAACTGTTCTGAAATTGATACCAATGATAGTGTAAATCCAACAACACAAACAGTTTCAAGACCAGTAACTAGGTCATATGCTAGGAAAATGGGAATTAAAATACCAGACCTCTACAAACCCAAACAAACACAAATCAATGACACGAGTACTACACAGCACACGACAACAGCCACGCGACCTCAATCATCACCGCAAACAGACACACAACACCAATCACCCACACCTCCACTCACTACACCTAGTACACTTCGACCTTCAACTGACCCACTAATTGTACCACCATTATCAATACCAGACAGACCTAAACAACAACCAACAGTACTTAGGGAACAGAGACTTGTGGATAAAGAAAATAATGATATAACCTATAGAGATGTACCAATTGAATTGTACACATCACCAAGCCCATTGGTTCCAACTATTACTGAACTAAAAACAACACACATTCCGAAACAAAAGGAATTAGACAAATTGATGGACGTTATCCGTAGAAAAATAATCAGAGATTATAATTTTCCAGTTGATGTTAAACAATTACAAATTGAACAGGAAACGTCACCATTCTTTAAACCTGTCTACGATTATTTAGCTCATGATATTCTGCCAGCCGATAAGAAGGCAGCAAGAGCGATTCAAACAAAATCTGTATATTCAAACACATTATGGTAGTATGTGATGAAATTACACGATTTTTAATCTGTGTACCTTTAAAATCACTTGATGCAGAAACAATTTGTGAAGCATTAATACAGAAAGTTATTACCATATTTGGACCCCATCCCGTCTTATTACAGACGCAGCTAGTTCACTAACAGGCAAACTTTTAACACTCTTATGTAACACTCTCAACATCGACAGAAAAATCATAAGTGTACAAAATCACGGTAGTTTACAAGTCGAACGTCATATTCGTACATTGTCCGACCTTTTAAAGGTGAACCTTAATCAATTTGGTACAGATTGGGTTAGATTCGTATCAATTACATGTTATGCATATAACTCATTTTCATCACCATATCTGGGTGATCATTCACCATATGAGTTAGTATTCGGAAGACAACCTCCGAATTTAACGAAATTAACCTTCAATCCCATGTCGGGACTAATACGAGGAATATCTTGAACACCTCAAAAAGAAATTTCAGCACATTTCAACAACCATGCTTACACTACAACGAACAAACTAAGATAATCATAATGCCAAAATTTCGCAACGACTGTATAAGAGCCCAATTTATTCTGTAGGACAATTAGTGTATTTGTACAAGCCTACATCATCTTCTTTGACTGCCAACTCAAAGAAAATATCAGCAGGGTTGGATATCAATGGGTTGGACCTTTAGCTGTACATCAAGTATTAGACAGAACACACTATATTCTAGCAACACTTAAAGGCGAAGTATTACGTGATGTATTTAATTAAAATAGACTTAAACCATGTTTCATGAGAGCCACGGATGAACGAAAGAATGTTACACACATTCAGAAATTGATCATTCAGACAGTTGATCAATAAGGCCAATGATAATGAACAGACAAGTAAGAATGAACTAAACGTGATTAATGACAATACCAAAAATATTGAATTCATTGACGAACGCGATAATAAACTTCCCGTGCTTGATTCAAAGACATTTATTTACACCACTAAAGTGGAACCAATAGACTTTACAAAATACATTGAATGTTTAGAAAACAATATGGGATTAGCCGTATCATACCCATTGAAGGAGGAGCAAATTAAACGATTATCAAATCTAATTATGGGAGCTCCAGTGGATACGACTATGACTTTAAGACGTGCCCGATTTAAAGCAGGACAATTACAAGTATTGGTATCATACACAGAACTTGATAAAGATTAAATTAGAAATAAAGAAAATACATTTTAAGGACTGTAGGTTTTGGTGGAACATTGATAGATATACTGATACTAAAAATATCATTAAACAGATTCTCCTTGAAAACAAAATACAAATATGCGGTTCGCCAAAACAGTTCCTAAAGAAATTGTATAATGTAACGAATTATTAACACAATAATTGAATAACTTAAGATTAATTGAAATACATAAACGATCATTTATTTACGTATAAGTTTCGAAGGTATGAAAGTCTACTTTGAGTGTATATTATATAAACAGGAGATTATTGAGTACCAGTATCACGATTTACTGAGTACAACCCGCTATAATTATGCATAGAATCTCGAATAACTGTTTAACATACACTACCATATTTGATTTGAATTTCATTTATATTTGTTTTATATGAGTTTGTAACTTCATAATACGAAATGTTTCTTTTATGATAACTAAGATGAGATTACATTTTCAAATCCTAACTTCGATAAGACATTAAATAACAAGATTGATCACTTGTTGAGTCTTAACATGCAAGTAAATTAAAAATATTATGTACAGAAAAACAACCAAATGGTTGCTGTCTTAGTTAATAACTGATTGCTAATGTAAGACGTTACAAAACGCAATTTTTATTCTTAAATCTGTTAACATAAATATTTTACTTGTAATGAAACGTCTAGGATTAATAAAGATAACGATAAGAAATGTATATCGATTGATTATTAGAGGAAAATTTGTTTCTTAACGAAATGCACGATTGTCACGCATTCTTACGACAAAGTTTTACTTTTGATTTCTTAGTTAAGCATTGACATTATATTCAATATTCATATGAAAAGCACACTTGAGGGTGGTGAAGAGTCAAAAGACTACATGAAACGTATATAAATTAACATACGTACGGACGGGCCGACAAACCTCAACAACTAGTCGCAATGTGTGGTAAATCTCATTTGAAAATTGCTTTTATTTACTTTGTAGTTTAAGTTTTGATCGTACACGTCGGATATGGCAAGACTAGACGTTACAGATTTATGGTTTCAATTTGATTTTTAAATTTATTATTTGTTTTTCACTTTGTTTCAGTTATTTTTCTATTTATTATTCATTCATTAATTGGGATTTTTTCATTATTCAATTCGGGAATGCGAGGCTAGGTCGTTAAATCAATTGTTTAGCGATCCTGTATTTACCGGGACCGACATAAAGCATGCAGTCATGTTGGTACAAATTTCTTCCTGGAGCACCAGGGATGCCAACACTCCAAATGTCAGTATGCTCTACTGTACCTGTCTCTTAAAAATGGAGAGAAAGAGAGAGTGAATATGAGTAAATGATGGAAATTGACACGTATTCATCTTGCACCACTTGTATTATATGCTATGAATTTTTTATGTTTAACGATTTAATTTTTTTAAAATGAATTGTTATATTGCTTTATGCCTACTACACATTGTAGTAAATTTTACCTTTATGTTATGATGTAAAAAATAAAAATAAAAAATAATTGAAAGGGATGTAATGTAGTATTAAGGTTCAATGGTATGAACTTGCATAACCATTGGAATCGATACCCTTCACCTGATAAATGCTTTAAATTGGTTTGAAAGTTTTAATGCTCAACTTGAGTATACAGATAATCTAATAATATAACTGGACTTTGTATAACTTTACCCTAGTCAGTTGGATTTGGCCTTTCTCACACTATGAATCTATGATTGTCAGTTTTGAGCCTAAGCTCTGAAGTTTGTGATACATCTTAATTAGCAGTTTTTTGGTAAGCAAGTTACTAAATCATAGAGAAAGAATTTCTCTATGATCCAATAAGAAACTCTAAAAGTATGGGGTGACTTACTTGAGACACACCCCCATTATCTAAAGTATAATAGGCAAACACCCCCATATCACTGGATCAGTAGTCAGTAACCAGTAATCAGTAGTCAGTAACCAGTAATCAGTAGTCAGTAGTCAGTAGTTAGATTCAACACAGAAGAAAAGTACAGAGCTGAGCTGACTCCACTCTAAAAGGGTTCTCTAACATCTGAAACCTGGAGTTTAGCTGATTGTAACCAACGTACTGTTTGTGTGAATACAAGTTTGCAGTGAACTAAAAGGAACTGTGTCATACTACTCATTCAAAGTCAGTCACCAACCAACCAATATTTAACGATAGTCTACTATGCGGAGCTCTACTAATAGCTTATTAATTCATTTTTTAGAATTTTGATGTTTTAATTAAGTACTGAACTTTAATAGGCCTACTATTTATCTTCTTGAACGTTTATTAATTATTTAAGGACCCATTTGGAAATAAGTTGTTTTTAACTACTTCCATGGGGTTATCCCTGTATATAAACAGCATCGTTTATTGTCTTTTTGTCTTCCTCTTTTTCATAATTTTAGGTAATCAAGAACCATGCGCTTTTTTGTAGTTTTATTATATTCCTCCTTGTATGTGTCCATAATTCTTTATGTTGTTTATACCAAATAAATTCAATTCAATTTATTTCAGCAATGAAGTACTATAAACCGATGGTCCAGTGTACAATTGGCTCATGTGCATTATAAAGAACCCAGTACATCTTTCGAGACGCGTAGGGGGTTACCCCAGTCCTAGTCCATGCAACGTTTTTGGCATTAAGCGCTACATAAACCTAACATATTATTATTATTATTATTATTATTATTATTATTATTATTATTATTATTATTATTATTATTATTATTATTATTATTATTATTATTATTATTATTATTATTATGAGAGTGTTTGGCCGGCAGTCATGTGTAACAATATTAATGCTTTTGTTTATAATTCATAAATGAGTATAAAAATCACTTACGCAGCAGCAGAATCAGATTTTGGTCTTTTCATTTCAACATCAATCTCATATTCCATTGCCCTGTCAAGGAAAAATTATTAACAATAATTATCATGCCAATAACGTATTCCATGAGGTACAAACTTTCCCATTATTGATAATTTGCTATTTTTCATATTGCCATTGTAACTGTCAAAACATATTATCTTCTTATATTGTGTAAATAGAATAAAACAAAATGAATCACCAATAAATCACTAGAGTAATCATAGAAGGTAATTACATCATCATCACCATCAATACAATCACTAACCACAACCATCCCCAGAACTCCCTTCATCCTAATCATCATTATGTTTTACTTTTCTTGCTACAGTAAGCTAATGTTTTGTACTTTCTTTGGCTTTTCCCGCTACAGCGGAAAAAATGAATTGTTGAGTCACATGCTAAAAGGCATGATTATATGAAGTGAAGTGATAAATGATGATGCGGATATTGTAGTGTCTGGGGTAGTGCAGGGAACAAATGTTGGAAGAGGATTGTGTCGGGGGCACAAGTACAAATATCAGGTGGAGTTGGAAATAAACGATATTGTATAATATTTAAGTTAAAAAAAAAACATAATTCAGGAAATTTAGATTGAACTTACTTTTCTTTCTTTATAGTCCTGGACTCTACTTTATCTTTCAAAATGCGATATTGTTTTCTCTTAGCTTCTTGCATTTTCTCATGCAGGTCTTCTACTTCTCGCATATGATTCTTTATAATGCTATTAGTTACTTGTGTTGGCACATCATTCTCAACAACACTATCAAGCAATTGAGCCTGTAGATAAAACATTCATAGGCCACCATTGCCAGTGAATTGTTGAAATCAAGAGGACAAATATCGCGGCAGCAGTCATAAAATGACAAGAGTTGTTATTACATGATAAAAAGCTGTGCTTATTACATGATGAAGAGCTATGCTTATTACATGATGAAGATCTATGCTTATTACATGATGAAAAGCTATGCTTATTACACAATGAAGAGCTATGCTTATTACATGATGAAGAGCTATGCTTCTTATATAATGAAGAGCTATGCCTATTACTGTACATGATGAAGAGCTATGCTTATTACATGATTAAGAGCTGTGCTTATTACAATTGTACAGAGATATGCTTATTACATGATGAAGAGCTATGTGTATTACAATTATGAAGAGCTATGCTTATTACATGATGAAGAGCTATGCCTATTACATTATGAAGAGCTATGTTTATTATAATTTATGATGAAGAGCTATGCTTATTTTATGATGATGAAAAGATGTTTGATTCATTATGAAGAGCAATGCTTATTACATGATAAAGAGTTATAATTTATTACATGATAGGAAAACATCTGTTGAAAGCTATGCTACACAATGTACCGTCATATCCTTTATTGGAACACTGTATTTACACTTTCTTTGATGATTTATATATAATCTAACAGTGTAAAAGGCTATCTTGATTATTATATGTTATATATATATATACCTCATACATAGATTCTAGGCATTAGTTAGGAAACTGGCAATAGAAAGTAGGGCCTACTATTCCCCTGAAAATAGTGATTTATATCAGGAATAGGTGGCTAAGTATTGCATTGCTTCCATAATGTATACCCATGATAAAAAGTTAACCTTCTCAGGACACCACATGACCACAACAATGCCCAATATTCTTAGTCTGATTTCTTAATTATATATTTCTCTTTATTATAATTTGTTAAATGTTATGACATGACAAGCATGTTGGATTGGAAAGTTGGAATCAATACAGTGATTGCATGGTTAACCGGACAATGTACAACCAAATACAATATTTTATTTTTAATTAAATTGTTTTTTTATTTGGTTGTTTGAATGATTGTTGTTCTGAATGTGGTTAGCACATTGAGAGGTTTTATTGTGGAAGGTACTACCATTACCACTAAATGTACCACAAACCTGAAGTTCATTAATTATTCTATTGTTTTTCCTGATGATTCCTTGGCGACGTGTCTGCCCAACTTGAAGCTTGCCAATCAGAAGTCCAAGCTGAGCATCTTGGTTTTTCAAAACGGCTTTATTTTCCGATGCAAGACGATCACGTAGCAGACTCATAGATTGTTGTCTCTCAGCCTCTATCGCCTTCAATTCAATGTTTATCTCTGCTTCCTGTGATAATCATTTATGACACTTTTTTGCCACTGTTTTATAACAGTATAGAAACATCAAAAATAATTTTTCATCCATTTTTTGAAAATTATAAAAACATGTTTACATACATCTCTGATTAATCGAATAGTTTCATCTGGTTGTGGATATTATAGCTGTAGAACATTGATGAAAGCTCAGAGTAAGTTAACATCGATTGTGCTTGGTTTAATTATTGATCAAACAGTTTTTTAATGATAGAAAAATGGTATTTATTATATATTTTCAAATTGTAAAAGTTGATTAGATTGGATTGGATTTATTCGCTGTAAACACAAAAGAGAGCCCATGAAAGTCTAGAAGAAGACTTATTTCCAGTGGGGTCCTGGTGGTGATTGGGCAGTACACCGGGAGACAATCCCCTACTATTTTCCGAAGAGTGTACTGCCATAAATGCACACGGGACCAATGACTTAAATGTCTAATCCAAAAGACGGTGCGCTATTGTAGAATCAGCCCTTCAGCTAAAAAACAAGGAGAGGCAGCGCTGGGAATTGAACCGGGGACCTAGAGATCTCCACGGTTCAGCAAACACACACATTGGCTACCACCAGATTAGCAGAATGAACTAAGCTGCTCTCTATAAAAGTGTATATAATGTTGGATTGTTCTTATTTTTGTATGTGTTTTATTTTAATGTAAATAAGGGGCAGCTGACTCCTCAGAGTTATAGTGAATATTTTTCTTAAGCTTCCCCTTACCATTATTGTTTGGTGTAAAATACTAAGAAACAAAAAAGGAAATAAATAATCAAATTTTGAAAAACACGGTGGTAGCAAAGTGAATTAAATTATTTATTACCTTGGACCATAATCTTAGAAAGTTGTAGGTGGATTTAATGGCAAAAGTCCAAATTGAAAAGAAATAACACTGAAAACATGAATTAAATAAACTTCCGGTATTTGCTAAGATACAAATAACAACAAATTTTGAGTTGAACTGTGTGTCTATAATGATACTTGTATCTATTGTTTTTTATTTTTAAATTGGCTATAGTCACTGTGGTAATTTGGTACATATTTATAACCCAATCTTACATGATTTCTCTTAAGCTTTTCAAGTTCAGTTTCTGATCCCTTTGATAGAGCTATTGCATTTTCTTTTTCTTGTTTCTTTTTAAGGTTCTGCAAGTAAGTTTCTCGTCTGGCCAGTTTTCCATCAAGGCTAAAGAAAAATAAATAAAACAATTATTAATCATATACTATGAAAAATTAATAGGAAGTAACCCATATATTTATGTTGTACAATACTTTGATTTTGTAGACTGTGTAAACAAACCTCTCATTGCAGCTACTGTCTAATTAATAATGTTCAATAATAACATATATTTACATTCTAGTAAAAAAGATTAATAGGATTTTCCAGATTAAATATTTTATACCACACAATGATGTATGTAAGTAACATATTCAAACAAAAGAAATTCTGTTGAGTGAGAAAAGTTTATACCTATTTTCCATATTCCTATATTTATATTCCATTTTTTCAAAACCTACATCTTTTGCTGCTTTAGACGAGCCATTTGCATTTGATTGTTGATAGCTGCCATATTCTGAGCATGCTGTTTTAAAATCTGGTTCCGAGCTCTGAAAAAATGTAAGTTATCTTAAATATGGTATTTAAATAGCATGTCATATTAAAGGAAGTACATAATTATTAAAAAAAACAAACAATTTTTTGCAGGTTAAGCAGATTTAAACTTCTAATTCGAATTATGGTACACTGCACAAAAAAGCCATACTCTTCATCCAAACCACTTTGGGATACTAGCAGATTGTGTACTGTTCTGTCTTGCTGTTCTATTAATTGCTGCTGTGCAACCTCTACTCTTTCTTGTTCTTCTATCCATCGTGACTTATTCTCTGTGATCTTCTCCTGTAGGATTTGCAGTTGTCGTTTCTTTTCTTTATTCTTTTTTACTATGGAAATAAATACATAGTCATTAATTTATCTATGTAAGTTAATGACATGATGCGATGGTTAGGGCAATAAATGTACCGTACAGTTTTTGTTTTTTTTTAATAAGGGTATTCGCTCTCAGTTATTATTCACATCCCTAACATATTTCATGATTCTATTATTGTGATAAACATCATACTGCTATTTATTAGGAAGAACTGTTTATCAATAATTAAATAGCTCTCATTTTGTACTTTTGTAAACTTAAACCCGAGGATTCGTATGCTAAGGAAAATTTCCCAACCATTCCAGAGTTTCCTAAAACTTTATACAATCTCCCATCTCCCGAATGTTGTCAAATGCTTCTAAATTTGTAGAAAAGAGCCCCAAATAAAAAAACAAGGTAATTTAGTGGCTATTTCGGTACAAATAACAGAGATTCCAAGTTCGACAAATTTACAGTCATATGACTTTTGAAACCATGTCACTCTGTAATACGAGAATCCTTGTTAAATGCTGTCAAACAAAAGGTTTTGGTGTTACTTTTGATTGTACACTTTAGTTAGGCATGATTATTTTTAACAGAAATGTTTTTTCTTGGTTGTATATGGCAAGATATTAAATTATTTTATATTTCATTTAATTTTATTCGAAATTTATAATATTGTAATAAAAATTCTAAGAATAGAAAACAAACTAAGTATCGCAAAATGTCAACTTATAGAGGGCTTATGGGCATACCTGGCCTCTATTCTAGAATATGCAGAATTACAGTGTTCCGTAAATAAGTACTTATTAAAAAGTGTCTAAGAGCGACCATTTTGGTGACTCAATTTGGATAAAAACAAGAGCCTTGCAGGCGTCAACATTCCTATGCATGATATATGACTTAAAAAGTATATAGGCCCTATATATACATATATACACACATATATATATATATATACGAACATATATATACATATATACACGTATATATATACATATACACGTACATATAATATGTATACACGTATATATATATACGTGTATATATATATATGTATATATACGTGTATACATATG